TCCGTGTCAAACGGAATCGTTCGACGCTGGAAGAACGCATCCGCAAACGCCGCGCGCTATCAGCGCAGGCACGGGCTCAAGCCGAAGAAGCCCGTAGAAAGTTGCAAAGAGAGGTAGCCAAGAAGCCGCCACCAACTCGCAAAGTTTGGAAGCCAAAGTCTGAAGCGGCAATTCAGGCTAAGGAGCAACCTTTGCAGCCTCCAACCAAAGTTCAACCTCCGGCGAACCAAGCTAAGTCACCGAGAGTTCCCATAGCTACTCCGGGAGATCATGCAGAATCCTCCAAAAGAATAAAGCCAGTCTTGGAGCGCCTCGGTCCACTTCCTGATGAGAGAGGCAAAGCTCCAGTTCACGAGCGTTTGGACCCGATGAAGAAGCCCAGAATGACTCAACACGCTGGGGGTCGCCGCAACCCTCAACGCGACAGAGAAATCATGGCACCCAAGCGCACTACTACTCCGAGATTGGCATTTGAATGTATTACTGATGACTCCTGAGACACATTGCAAATGTCATCTAAAAAAACGCCAATAAAATAATGGCCTTCAACATGCAAACCAAGAATCAGGAACATACCCTCAGAACTACTAAATTGCTAGATTCAAGTATTGAAGTAGCAATTAGTGAATCTCCACCAGCACTGATTACCATTCTGGAATTCCACATCAATAGCATCTTTACAGACATTCGTAAAGCTCCAAATACCTAAACTAATTAAATGTAATATTATCAAATAAAGAACTTATCAAAATTCAAAGTAATGAAAACGTGTGCAGGCGCCCAGTTGAAGACATGGGTGTACTAAGAAGAAAATAGTCTCAGGAAAATGAAAGAGATAGCTACTGCAATGAAGACATTTTCTTTTTTGTTGCAAGATGAACTAGACTTGGGAATTGATAGTATAATTACAGAAAGACATCAATAAAGAAAAGGAGAAGTTTAAATAATAGAAAAAAGAGAAAAGTCTAAGATAGTGCTCATCATATGGGATAAAGAGGAAAACCTCTTCAAAAATGCAAAGTATATCCACTAACTACCTTGTGGAAACAGCTCCATTAATTCTTTGGTCCAAAAAAAGTGCAAAGAGAAGAAGATAAATAAATAATTCATAAAGGAAACGTACAGTTGCCTGACTGACATGACTATGAATTGACAGTGACAATTGTAATGGCTACTTCCCATTTGTAAGAAAGGGCAACCCAGTGAACAAATATCCAGCGATGTGCAGCGTGCAGAAAGGGGCCGGACCACTTTGGGTCTAGTGTACGCAACCTCAACTTGCATTAACAAGAGACTATTTCCACAGCTCAAACCCGTGACTTCCAGGTCACACGGCAACAACTCTTATCATTGTGCCGGGGCTCACCATCGGTTATTTCCCATTTGTGAAGATGGAAAATATTTTGGTCATCTAAACAAATAAAATTTGACAAGCTCCATTGCAGCATGGCGGTAAGATCACTTTGTAGTGTTTAAGAGGTTTAAAATCCATCTCTCCTGTGCTAGGCTACAACTATTGAAAAGAAACATAGGAACAAGTCTTGTATAGGCTACAGGAAGTTGGCCAGCATTAAAAAACAAAGATATGCAAGTCACTATGAGGTGATAAAAACTAGTGAAGAAAATTCTTCAAATTGGAGAAATTACTCTTTAAACTATTAAAAATCAACAATAAAGGTTCAACAAATGTTTGTGTGTAAAAATATAACCCTCCACCCTCACAACTTCAGAGTTTTGGTGTAGTGGAAGAGATTTTAACATGGTATCAGAGCAGCCCACAAATTTAAAGCAGATTTTGAAAAAAAATATACTGGTAACGTTAAGATGTGAGTCCAAGCTTTGGCCCATGGAAGGGTGCTTAGCTTGCGAGGAAATGTTGAGTAAAAGATTATAATCCTCAACCCTCACTAAAACACAACTTCGGAGTTTTGGTGTAGTGGAAGGGACCTTTCACAACAAATATTTGACGTGCATTTTAAATCGATAGCCGAGTTGTCCTAGAAGTTACACTAAACAATCAACCCACCAAGTTTGTCACAGCCTTTTCATTTCATCAGAATAGAAACAAGATAGTAATCACCTTGATTACTGAGTTGCTCATTAAAAGTTCTTCTGCCATAAGCTCAAATTCTGAGAAGGGATAGTGTTTCAGACCAAAATTCATCACTCCGCCAGACAACAGGCTAAGCTGTCCTTGGACCTGTGTAGCAGCCAAGAGAAACCCATTCAAGATGACATAATTGTATATTTTTACTCTAAGCAAAACCAGAACTCTGAAGTAAACAAATTTGTACTTCAAGTTAAAAGCAAAAGGACAATAATAATAATAATAACAATAATAATAATAACGGGAAAATAATAATACTGACAACAATAACAATAATAACAGAAAAATGCAAATCATCTGCTTTCGTAAATTATCCAGCACAATTGATTTCTGAAACAGCCCATTTCAATAATGTGCATCAGTTCAATGAAGTATGCGAACTATGTGGTCAACTGCTGCATAATTCGTGGGTCATACATGTGGCTGGAAGTAAGAAAGAGAAGAGAAGAATAAGGTAGAGATATTATAAAAGAGAAAAGACAAAGGAAAAAAAGAAACCTGGGATGCAGTTTGGCATTGCCATGTAAGAGCTGCACTATTGATCAAAAGGAAGTAGAGGATATGGAGGTCAAGGTAAAGTCAACAGAATACATTTCTATCAGGTATGCGTGGCCCAAAAGAACACAACTTGATTAAAGTCTTAGAAGTCAATTGACACAAGGAATGAGCCCACATCAGACACAGACAAGAGTCAGAACTCATTCACCTAAAGGCTTGTCACAGGGATAATACCGTGAGCAACAATATAAGTTGTCAGGTGCCTACCATCCACAATAAGTATGCTAACAAAAAAGCATCGGTGTTCCACACTATCACAAAATTGGCAACCAAATATAAAAGCAAAAATCTACTGATAACTCCCATTTGCTAATGACAGAAGTCGGAACATGTTCGCCTAAAGGTCTTTGTCACGCGACTAATAGCCATGAGGAACAATGAGAGTTGTCATATGCCTATTATCTTATGATAAAGATGCCAACAGATTGGCATAGTGCGGTCACAAAGTTGGCAACCAAAGCTAATAGCAAAATCTCAACATTAGTTCCATCAGGGTGATTAAATAGGGGGGAAATATATTAAGAAAAAAAAGGGATGCACCATGATAGTTGCAACTAAGGTTTTGAAAAGCTTGGATAATACCACCATGCACAAAATAAATCTTATAATCTCAGAATATTTCCACTTCGAGTTCTTAGTGGAAAATGTAGCAGCCTTAGGACACATTAGACGTCCAAAAAATGGAATAATCACCCAAATTCTTGCCAACAATATTTTATTGTAGTATCATTTTACGAGCTACGGGATGAAAAATAAATAACTTTAGATACTTGTAGAGACCAACCAATTAATTACTAATTTTGAAACACGTGAAAACTTCAATAAATTTCTCATATACATCAGAGGTGGCAAAAGAAGCTGGTGTGGGATAAAAGAATCATGAAGAAAGAAAATGCACTATGTTTACCGCCTCCCATAAGCGGAGAAGTTAAATAATCCTGCTTAAGCAAAAAACTAACACGAGTTTGCAAAGTTGAGATGAATTGTTCAATTTTCCACATGTCAGCAAAAATTAATGAGGAATGTTTACGTTAGTTTAATAGAATTAGCAGAAAGGGACCCGAAAGATTTTGAAAAGGGTTGGTTTCATAAAATCCCCCGGAACTTTATGTGGTTTTACACATAAATCCCTGGGCTTTTATTTTATCTCACAAAACCTCCCAGAACTTTGTGGTCTCACAAAACCCTGATAAGTTCAAATTTTTTCTTGACAGACCCCCTGCATGTAGCAAATAAGTATAATGTCCTTAGGCGAGAGAAAGCTCCACTTTAGTTACTTTCAATTTCACAAGCAATGGCCCCCCCCCCCAAAAAAAAAAAAAAATCTCCCCTCCTCCAAAAAAGTGCAGTTATTTTTCTCAGCATAGTATTATAGTTATTTGCACAAAATACAGGGGCAGGGTCCAATGAGAAAAGTCTAAACTTCAGGGAAGTTTTTGCATGACACCCCAAAGTTGAGGAGGTTTGTAAGATAAAAATTCAAGGCGTAAGGGCTAATTGTATATCATTGCGGTTGGGGGGGCGGGGGGCTTATTTGCTGAAATTTAACCTTTCTTAAAAATAGTAATACCTACAATATGACATTGACATTGAAAACTCAGGTTAAGAATCTAGTTTTATGTACCTTAAAGGAGACAAATTGGAAAGTTAGAATGGAATAAGAGAAGCATTGGCAGCAATGAAAATCAAGGCATTCTCATAGTCCGCACTATGTCATTTCTTTCAAAGTTTCCAGAAACTGAGACTATAATTTTTTTTCATAATATCCATCAAAGATAAACTAGTTTACTACCCCAAATAAAATGTCAGAGCTGAGCAAAAAAATAAAACATAACAAGATGCAATATTGAGCTTATCAAAAGTTTGATTGAGATACAAAACATACAGAAGTTAATATTGGCAAAAGTTTTGTTTCTCTTCATATAAAAACATAAATCGGAACAGCTGCTAATCTATACTCTGGTACCACAATATCTCAGTAGCTATAATGACTCAACAACTAACAGTTCTGCAGAAAAATAATTTTCAGATGATGAAAAATTGAATACTGTAGCAGGCATGATAATGCACAATAAAGGTTAACCAGTCAGTCGGTCACTAACCTGTACACGACTCCAAAGCAATGGAACATCAACTTTGGCTCGGTTTTTTACAAAAACATTCGTCCAAAGTGGTTGATTAGGGAATGTAAGAAGAAGTGTATCAGTCTGAGAGGACAAGTTGTTATTACAAATGATAAGACTCCGAGGAACTGCATCATAAAGGGTCCCTGCGGCACCAGAGTTCTCAGGACAGCCATGACTTATTCCACCTGCAAAAAGAAAGCATTATAAAACATAGCAATCAGGTAGTTGCACAAAGTTTCACACAAAAGTGACTAATGACTACTTTCTGCATTGACCGGGATAACACAGATGAATATAAAAGACAGACAACCAGCAGCCTACTAAGTAGTGGATCATAAATAGGTACACTATCAAAAGCGTGTGATGTAATTTTATATAAGAAGCAGTTAAGTAAATTGCAAAATATTAAATAATTTCGTATATACCCAATGACGTTTTCTTTTTTCCTAGGCATTCATGCAATCATGTCCATATTGTGTTGTGTCATGTCTCGATGTACATGTCTGTACAGCCTAGGTGTCATCCTTATCATCAATGGATACGTATATAACTGTCCAACTGTTCACTTGTGGTCATTGATGACTGTTTGTGTGTGTGTAGAAATAGAATGCTTTTTCGATGGATTTGATGGCCATTCACCGGTGGTGGTTGCTTGCGGCACTGACCATCAACTGTTCACTTGTGGTCATTGCAAGGTTTTAATTGTCAGATGTCGGGTTCATGTCGAATGGCTGAAATCCATGTCGGATAGCATAAATCGGGGACATATCGGGGAACATTGACTAAATATCGGATTGCTATATCAGATAGGCGCATATGTATAATATCATGTCCTAAATGTAATCTAAGCATTCATAAATTCAATATAAGCATACTTTATAAATTCTATAGACTAAACATATAAAAAAGTAAATAATATATGGATTTGGGTTCATAAATTCTTTCAATCGGGTTCATAAGAAACAAACATATAAAAAAGTAAATAATATATGGATTTGGGTTCATAAATTCTTTCAATCGGGTTCATAAGAAATCCTTAAACATGAGATCGGGTCAAACGGTTTGAGTATTTATCACTAAACCCAAACCCGATAACAAAAAACAGACCTTAAAAAAATACCATATCGACCGATTTTTCAAAACTAAAAAATAGGCCGATATGCCCGATATGACCCTGATATTTCCGATTTGACCCTGAAAACCGACATACGAGTTGAAAACGTCCATGTCGTGTCGGTCAAGCCCTCAAACTGATATGTCGGCCGACATTTAAAACCTTGGGTCATTGATGACTGTTTTTGGGCAGTCATCATCAACTGTTTCTTTACACGATCATCAGTTGTTGTCATTGCCAGTAAGTGATGAAGGAGAATGAAGAGAGATGGAGGGAGAGATCAAATCTTGATGCAATCTATATATATATATATATATACACACACACAATATATACACACACACACATACACGTGCGCACTCACAAACACACACACACACATAGTATTCTAGTTTTTCAGTCGTATCACCATGCCCATGTCATGTATTCATCTCCCTACTTCAGAGCTTGTAACAACAACAGTTGAAGTTAAGATAAATTATGAAATGTATGGAGGCTTTTTTACCATCCTCTAGTAATCAAAACGAAAACTGAAAACTTAAACTAATAGTTAATGAACTTCAAGAATTAACATATACCACTAAATATTCAATTTTTGGTTTGCATACCTAAAATGAACCATAATTATAGTGAATGGATCCCATCCTTACATGGGTGCTTTCCAACAACAAGTAACAATAAGCAAAATGGATTAAAAATGTCAAACATCAGAGATGAGAACAACTAACCATGAGCAAAAACTTTTGGCTCGTCATGCCTGCTGAAAATGTCAATAGCAACTCGCCCACCTCCTCCCCCTGCCACGCCATTGCCCCCTGATGCAGATATGTTGCCATTTCCGGTCCTGTTCTTAATAAGAACATTAAATTAAATTTGAATTTTACTTCAACACAATGCAAGTTCTCCTTGACTACTTAAGCATGCGCAAACTCTAGAAAACAGTGTACATATACACCATCATTCATTATTGTCAAGCTTAAATATGTTTGCGTTCAAATCAAAAAATGAGGGGAAAAATAATGAGAGATCAGTTAAAAGTCCCAACGCATGGCATGTCTACGCACAATAATAATCACTTAGACTGCTTTGTAACTTTGGTTAAAGCCTTGTGGCTTAATCATCAATTATCAATAGTCACAAGACTTATCCAGTTTTCCTTGAATAACGTTTCAATATGTAAAACTTTCAGAAAGAAAATTGGGTTTTTCTTAAATAAATCTCCCAAAAATTCATTAACTTTAACAAGTTCCCCAATACATATATGTTCTAAATAAGTCCCTAAGATGTTTTCCCATGCATCAGATAGGTTCCTTTTTGTGATTTCTGTCTAATCCGAGCTGGGGTAGGGTTCATACCTGAGTTACGATATGCATAAGCAAGGAAAACCCAATTGTTCTGATTCTTCCTGTCTGTCTCTCTCTTGAATAGCCCCCACACCCAAAGCCTACGGCTTCTAATTTTGTTTCAAAAATTTTGGACAAAAACCTTAGTCTGTCCTCTACTTCTCACTCGCTCTCAAAAACAAAGTGCGATGATATGTTAACTGTTCTTGTTTTTGCACGGTTTTGTGCATTGTCACATGTAAAAAGCTTTGTACACTGTTTTACAAAAATAAGTATCATATTCAATCTAGTGTGTACTTCATTTTTGTGCATTCCTTTGCTTTGTAACTGCCATTGTTGTTTAAGAGTTGAAATAGTGTGTAATTCATTTTGAAGATTATGTGCTCAAATCAAGCTCTATTTTTTATTAGTTTGAGCTTTGATTTTTCACAGTTTAGAGTTCTATTTAGTGCTCATTTTGAGATCTATTTTTGATGTGTTTGTGAAACTTAAGAGATGTACAAATGTATGCTTATCATGCAGGATTTTCCTTGTGAAGATTATTGAGTCATGAGATCCAGACATGAACATGAGCTCCTTCACCAGGTTATACATAAACATGAACCTTGGGCAAATACTTGAACATGATCTTTTTTCCGTTGGACAGGAATGCGTTTGTTTCTGAGTTCATGCTCTGTTTTTTCTCAGTTTTGAATTCTATTTCGTGCTAAGTTTGGGCTCTACTGTGTGATCGATTTGTGAAGTTGTAGAGATGTATAAATGTACGCCTATAATGCAGGATTATCCTTCAGAAGATTATTAAGTCATGGGATCTAGACATGAACATGAGCTTCCTCACCAAGTTGAACATAAACATGAACATGGGGCAGAATGGTTGAACATGAGCTTCTGCCATTGGAGATGAATCCGCTTTTGCTCAGTTCGAGCTTTGTTTCTTCCCAGTTTTGAGTTCTACTTCGAGCTCAGTATGAACTTTGTTTTGTGATATGTTTGTCAAATTATAGAGATACGTAAATGTGTACGTATAATGCAGGATGGTCCTTGAGAAGATTATAGGGTTATGGGATCTAGACATGAACATGTGCTTCCTCACCAGGTTGAACATAAACATGAACCTGGACTAGAACTGTAGAATGCTCGACCATGAGCTTCCGCCATTGGAGAAGAATGCAGAAAATGGAGAGGTTTGAGGGACCGTTTGGGTTTCAATGGATTATGACGTTATGGGAAGTAGCTGTTAGGGGGTTTGTTTGTAAGAAGAAGACAAGGAGTTAACGGGGAAATAAAAGGGAGTTAAGTTTATGTGAAGTTAAAATGACGGAATGAAAGTAAAGGGACCTAATGACCTATTTAATACAAGTTAAAAGATTTTGAGGGACTTATTCAAAATATCCATCTTTTGGGGGACTTATTTGAAATTAATGAAGATTTAGGGATTTACATCAGAAAAACTCAAGAAAATTTGCATGCATGTGTGAAGCTTGGTTAGCTTTTGTTGTAACAAGGACACATATTATTCATCACCATTCAAAAACTGAAAAGGTTCTAATTCTAACAAATAAAAGTAAAGCCTTCACTGTGCCACTTGCAACTCTCTGTCATAGCCTTAAACAATCATTATTTTAAAAATTTAAAGAAATGACCGCGAGTTTGGGTGAATCCACAAGATATAAGTGTGAAATATCAAGTATGAGCATTCTAATCTTTGGAGAATCATAAACTCGATGGATAACTACTAGTATCTTTGTTTGATGTATCCTAAAATTTCTAGTGTATACCATGTGTCCACTAAAGCTTCAGAATCCAACATGTGAACGGCATATGATATACACTCTTCATAAAAAAAAGTAATGCATTATTAATTAGTGCATTGTAGTATTAAGATATATTTTTCATAGTTTTTATAATACACATGTTATGATATTACTATTGCATCATCATGTATCTGCACCTTGAATTTTTTCCCCTCTCTTTCAGCATTTTGTATCCATACTCTATACTAGTATACATTGGCTTATTCTATTTTAACGAGGTGGAATGACAATCATAAGAACCACAACAAAGAACCACAACAAAAGATCTTAAGGATGTCTATGAACAGATGTAAGTTATAGTCAGAATCATCCTTACATGAAAAGGAAAGAAACTCATAACGCTTTAATTTCAAATCCTACAAGTTCATATAGGTTAGAGCCCAAGCCTGCAAAACAAAGCATCTTATACTAAATCTGGAAAAAACTAAAAACTAGATCATTCTCCAAGTCTATACAATAAACCAATGCGCATTTTAATTAAAGAGATTTCATTTGCCAAATATATCCCACATTTAAGATAATATAATAACTTGAAAAGCTTTCTAGACCTCACATTCTTACATGGACCTTCTAGAATGTCATGAATCTTATCTTCTATCTATATATATTTTCCATATTTCAACTTCTTTTGTGATGCCCAACAATTATCTACTTTCCTTCATACACCGGAAACCTTTCCGTACTTATCAGCTTTTTCAGCTCCCTCCTCTTAGACAATAGTTTTTACGCAATTTATAATTAATTAGAAACAATCTTTAACATATAACATGTTATAACTACCAAATTCCTAAAGCAATCTAAATTTCCAAACTTTGCATTCAGCTATAATGAAAGGAAAAAATTGGGCATGAGATGTCAGCTCATTTCCAAGGGCTAGGCTGGTGATGAGGTCCACCCTTATAGTCTCACGTCGAGGTGGACCTCATCCATTTCTATCTTTTGATAGCTCAATTTGCTTAATGAGACGATAGCTTGTATCCAATATCCACATAAAAATAGGGAATTTTTAGGGAATCACCCCTAACTTAAACCTTGTTTCATGATGCAATCCTTAATTACTGAAGTTTTAGAAAATCACTCCTATCTACCATTCCATTAACATAAAACCACCCATGATATTTTCCATCAAAATTTTCATACAAAACATATACTTTGACAGTTTTACCCTCTACGTTTAAATTTGTTGAACTGTGGGCATCAAAGTTAAAATTTGTGGAAATTTAGGGATCAAGATTAAATTTTGTTGAACTTTCGAGTAACAAAATTTAGTTGAACTTTGACATACGTTTCGGGCGAAAAAAAACTTCATGGTATCTAAGTGCAAAATGAAGTAGACTCTAGGTATTTTTTCGGCTAAGAAGAATTTGTGGTATCAAAATTAAAATGGAAAAAATTGGGGTATTTAATTTTAATCCCAAAGTTCAACAAAATTAAACCTATGCAGGGGTAAAACCCTCAAACTGTACCTTTTTGGAAGGAAAATTGGCTAGAAAAGTGCATGGATGGTCGAAAGGGGTGGTTTTCTAAAATTTGAGCAATTACGCGTGGTGACATGCAAGACTAGGTGTGGTTCTCTGGAAAAGCCCATAAAATTTTGACACAATTATGATAAAAGTATAATGACCAATTAACAAAAGGAGAAATTTTTTAAATAAGACCATGTCACAATTTTAATTATCAAAATTGACCTACTACAAAATTATTTATCAAAATTAACCTACTTTTTCAACCACGTCAGCAGCCGTCGCTAAAAAGAAGTCGATTCTAAAAAACACAATTTTCGTAGTATACAGATTGCTAATCCCATGTAATTAGCGAAGTTTACTAATTATACGGGATTGGGAATCCCGTACGTAATTTCAAGTTCAAATTAAACATGATTACAATAGTTGGCTAAGTGGTTCTCTCGAAGAGAGCTAGACTTCAATTAAGAGATTGGGGTTGACTTCAAATCTCATCATTGCCAACATTATTTTATTTTTTTATTTATCTATTCAGCAGTAAAAAAAAAAAACTCATTACTTGGCTAAAAGTCGAACCCATGCTCTTTCAGCCCATAACTTAACACTAATTCTTTTAACCACTTTGCCAACTCACAATACAGTAAAAAGTTTCTGAACAAAATATAGACGGGATTGTGAATTCCATATAACTAGTGCATTGCTAACTGACTTATTCTTTTAACCACTTTGCCAATTGACAATATCGTAAAAAGTTTCTGAACAAAATATATACGGGATTGTGAATCCCATATAATTAGTAAATTGCTAAATGATTTGCGTAGGCCACTAATTACACAAATTTCAATCCCGTAGACTTTCAAAACTAGTCTTTTTTCAAAATTGACCGAGTTTCAATGCTCCACACTGATATGGCTAAAAATAGGTCAATTTTGATAAATATACTTGAACGAGGTTGATTTTGGTAATTAATTTTATGATATGGTCTATTTCAAAAATTTCTTCTCAACAAAAGGGCCCTAATATCTTACAATTTGTTAGCTATGATATGGATGCTCCCGCCTGATCCACCACCGCCCATCCACCCACCATCTCCACCGTCAGCACTAATCACCCCATTCACCTCAAGAACATCCTTAACCACCATCATTATCCTCCCTCCTCCTCCTCCTCCATAATCCATCTCCAAGCTCGTGCTCCCCCCTTTACTCCCAAAGCTCCAAGGCTTCGTCAAGCTATCCCAAGCATAGACATCCCCACCCCAAGACTCCTCTGCAGTCTCCCCATCCTGCACATAACAGCTCGCTCCTCTCCCTCCATGACCGCCTCCATCCCCGTGGGTCCCCGTCCCGGCACCACTCGTCTGCTCTGGCGGATCCCCACCCAACGCCGTTGTATTCACCGCCGCTCCGTCTGCCACGCACATTCAGGGCCGGACACCCTGCACGAAACAGCAAACAACTCTCGATTTTTTGTCCCGATCCTGATCGGCGCCGGCTCAGCGGACGAATCGCACATCTGAGATACGGCAGGAGAGATAACATCATCGAGAAGGAGAACGATCGCCACCTTTGCATGTTAGAAACGTCGCCAGAGACGGAACGCTGCGATTTGAGCTCTACAAGGCTACGCGAAGTCGCCGGTGCCGTTGAGGCCGGACGGAGCATGAGATGGAGGGCCCGCCTGCCGAGCGGCGCGGAGCGGCGCGCGGAGGGTTAGTCTTTTAGTCGCGGATAGTTCAAGATCGAGAACTTGTCGTTCGCTTTCGATCCCGAGACCAGGTTAGGGTTAGGGTTAGGGTTAGGGTTAGGGTTAGGGTTTCCGAGGAGGAGGAAGAGGAGGAGGAGGAGGAATGGCATTGGGGAAGAGAGGAGAAAGTCATCAAGAAACCATAGATCTGGATTTGAGCAGAAAATTGAAGGAAAAGGTGGGGGTTTTGATGTTTAATGGTGGCGAGAGAAAAGGGGAAAGTGTTTGAGAGGGAGAGGGGGAGAGAGGAGGAAGAAGCGAGCAACGGTTAGTGGACCGAGGGATAACTGACAGCAGTTATGGTGGGTCATCGGTGCATCAAGATCCGGACAAACAAATGGCCTTTTCATAAATTTTTAAGAGGATAGTGGGCCCTTGATTTCTGGGTTTAATATATGTATATATATTTTTTTGATAGAAACTGGGTTTAATATATGGGCCTATGTTGAGCTGTTTCAATTACGAGAATGTTGGTGGACTGCGTTTTGTCGCATGTCGAGTCCGTAAAAGCCTATAATCAAATTCTTGTTAAGGACATCGAAGCCATTGTAAGTTCCGTTTGAAGCTATATATTTGTAGTTTTAAAAAAAGTTATTTGCTTGCGATGCATATTGAAGATGACGTGCATTAGGGAAAAAATCCAATCAAATTCTTATTTGGTTGCATATAAACTTTGTCATGGTGTAATATTCTAATCTTGTTCGTTTGCACATGTATTTGGTAAGGATTTCATGGATATAAAAATCATTGATATACATACCTCCCATGAAACAAAGTCATATTTAAATGTACAAGGATTCCTTTCTATAAATATTCCTAACCATGACCGATATATCAACTATTATGCCCTTTTATAATTCTTCCTACAAGATGATGGGATGTTAATATAGATGATTTTCCGGCCTCAAGCCATATGTTGTTGAGTGTTTTTTAGTATTTGGTATTATTTATTTATTTATTTATTTATTTATTTTTGGGAAAATGGTCGTGGCCATGGTTGCTTTCATTCAATCTGAACAGATACTCTTAGATGTGATACAAATAGTAGAATAGAATATATTTGATAATTCTTAAAGGGACCAATAGCCACATAGCTCGAAGGATACAGCGCTACGACGATAGAGCAAGCAGCCACTGTTATACCCCTAAAAATATTATTGTTAATCTCCATTGAGCAGTAGATACGTGTCTTGTAGTTTATACAGCTAAGTCAAAACCAAAATAAACTCTGCCTCAGCTCGACCAATTGTTCGGCCGACGTCTCGCATAATCGAGACAAAAGGTGGTACTACTCGGCCAACCCTTTAATTAATTCCCCGGGCAATCCAACTCGACTAACTATTCGTCCGACATCTCACGTAACCGAGACAAAAGGCGATATTTATTGTCCAACCTGGCCAATCACCTCTACGAATAACCCCTACTCTGCCCAAGCCATCAATATATATTGTCGACTATCAACTGGACGACTAAGAGAGTTAGTAGTTTTCTCGAACCCAGTGCTGACAGCCACCTAGCCTTGCATTAACTGTCCTGACAAAGTCATTATTGCTCTAGTCAATAAAGTCTTTATGACTTATCAGGCCCCGTTAGCGCAAAGCAGCTGTTATTGTTTAGCATGAAACACCTGGACAACACCTCTTTCATAGCAGACGACACCTATCTGCTATTTGCTAACTCAGGTGCCTAGTTGGACTCGGCCCAGGTTACTTTCTTGCCCATTAGAACCACTATAAAAAGGGGAGGCACATCATGAGGTAACTTTCTCTGATCTTTTTTTTATCCTACTAATAGCTAACTCTATATTTCCCCACTCAAGATCACCTATTGAATTGATTGTCGGATGAACAACCGGAGAACCGAACTCTAACATCTTACGAGTTTCTTCTTGTGCAGGGAAGAACAGAAAACCCAAGAGCCATACATCAGAAGGAGAGAGAGAACCCTAATAACTCCAAAAACTATAAATTATTCACTGTTTGATAACTAACATCAACAATTTGGCGCCCACCGTAGGGGCCTTCTTTCTTCTTCGATCATGATGTCTAGTTCTAAGCGTAGGCTTATCCATCCAGTCCTTGAAGAACCATGTGCAAGCTACATCAATCAAGTCCAGCTGGAGGAATTCGCCTAACGGTTTTCTCAGATGGAAGCATCTTACCACAGCTCAAGAAATATTTTCAATAATCTTGTTTATATATGTTACATATGATATAAAATCCTTTTGAGTTTTAAATCTATTTTGCTACATTCTAGCAATATCATAACTTTTCACAAGAATACAAGGCCGAGTCACTACAACATAGTCGACTCATTTTAAGACCTTGGCACCAACTTAAGTCCAAGGCACGTATCAAAAGACAATTGTGTCATTGCGAATAAACCCAAGGCATGAGGTCCAATCGAGCCGACTCGTAACCAAAAGACTTTAGTACCTTTTTAGGGTAAACCAAGACACACATGTTAGCCCTTATATTTTGATGATGTTTTACAACCACCATTATCGGTACTAATTGCTTGTTGAGTGATAATGTAGTTTATATATATATATAAAGCATGTTAGTGTCATAAATGGAGGATTGGATGGAATATGCGCTACAACGATGATACCCAAAGAAGGAGGAGGCATAGTGATGAAGCAACGTTCATTTAAGAACACCAAATGTAATAAGAAGCATCATCAACTCAAGCTGCATCAAGACTCAAGGAATTATATTCTATGTGAGGATATTAGCTAGTTTTTATTCTCTCTCTAGTACTAGAATGTAGGCAAGTAGTTTAGATTCCATTTGAAGCTATTGGGATATCACACACACGTTTTCATACTTATAGTTTTAAGCGTTTTCATAAAATATCATTTTCATAAGTATGAGGATCTATTCGCAAAATTCATTTTCCAAAAAATTTGCTTTTAATGTTAAAAACATTTTACAAAGTTTCATAATTTTTGGAAGTCAATTAAATATTTTACAGATTTTTTAAGAGTGTTAAAATCAGTGTTTTCGTATGTATCAGTTTGCGATCGACCGCCACGGTCGACCGCGCCTGAGTTCATTCGTCAGTGGGCATCAGAAACGTTCGCAGTCGACTGTTGCGGGCGACCGTGAGCTTGAAATTTCCCATGGTCGACTGCAGAACTCTCTGGAAAATTTCTTCGTTTCTGAACTGGCTCGCGGTCGACCGTGAACATTGTAC